ACTTTCATGATTGTAGAGGTTGCCGGTGCAAGATGAGATGAAGAGGATGCTTCTGCTTCTGAAATCTTGTCCCTCAATGATTTGTTCGCCTCGGATAGCTCAATTGATTTCTCCCTTTCCTCGGCGTACTCATTGTGGGTTTCGGCATACCATTCATACATCTCATCTCGGCTCTCTGTCATTTCATTGTACCCGTCCTTGTAGTGCTTCGCCTCCTCTTTTGCGTTCCGAATCTCATCTTCCTCGGACGCGTGGGTTGGTAACCCGCGGTCTCTGGAACTAGGACGCTTGCTGTACCGAGAGACTATGGGTGCCATTCGTGCTTCTGCTTTTAATTTCGCATTTTCCATAATGACATTCTTCTCCTTCTGGCTTTCCAATAGTGCATTCTCCAGTTCTCTGATCTTCTGTTGAATTTCAGCACCATCATCGCCGAACATAGGAGCTCTCATCATATTCTCTCTTTTCAGCTGTGCGTTGGCTTCGGATAGAGCGAGGTTGGCGTCTTTCAACTGTTGTCGTTCACGGATGGAACCTTCTAGGACTTCGTTATTGAATATTTCTCCTTTTGCGATAACCTCCTTTGCGACGTTTGCTTCGTATTCATGGTGGCTCGCCTTCATTTCTGCCATTTCTTTAGCAGAGACTTCAGTCTGGCATACAAATATCTCCATCCTCATGCCCACTTCCATCTCTTCTATCTCCGCTCTCGCGTTGAGTTCAGCTCCACGTGCCATAGCTAGTTGACCTCGTAGATGATCAATAACCATAGCTTCCTGATTGCTCTGATCTTGAGATGAGTGAACACTGTGTTGAAGACGTCTTTCCCTGACCTCACTGTTCCATTGTTCTTCTCTCTGGTGTTGGATCACCTCGTGCATGTTGACATTCTCATCCTGTAGCGCAATCATTCTAGCTTGTATCTGGTCAGCTATTCCGACGAAGGCTGTGTTCTCATCCTGAATGGCTTTTGATCTTCTATTGATCGCCAATGAAGATTCATTCTGTTCTTGGATGTGTCCAATTGCTGCTTGAAGCTCTTGGGACATTCTGTCCTTCGTTGCTTTCACAGATTCAAGCTCTGAATGTTCTTGATGAGTTTCTTGTGCAAGCTCTTGATATCTCATGTAGATATGTTCAGCTGTCGATTCCGCCAAGCGTAGCTTGTGTTCGAGCTCTTCAATTCTTATTGTCGCTCCTTCATCTTCCTGTGTCATCTCTTGTAGATGTTCCTGCATCTTCCTGTTGTAGTCAGACATTTGCCTGAACTCCACTTCAGCCTCGTGGTGTAGTCGTGAGTATCCGGCTTGGATGCATTCATATTCTTCATGAAGAAAGTTGTATGCGTTTCTCGCCGATCTCAATTCTTCACCCAGCTGAATCTCTCTTCTTTGCTCTTTTGTTCCTCTATCATCGTCACGTCTCTTCTCTATACTCCTTCTTGGGGATCTCGCGGTAGACGTTATAGGCGATGTAGATCTTGTTGTAGCTCTCATCGATCTTCTTGGTCCTACGGGTGCAAGATCGGTCAGATTCCGAGCCGGTGGCACGGATCTTTCCGAGATTTGTGATCCAGTAGGCATAGTGATAACGTCAGCATTTGCTGATGAATCAGTACCCATTGTAGAGTCTGGTGACGAAATGGTGTTGGGACCACCAGGAGCAGCGAATGAATAGGGTTCGCTTCCATTTCCTCCTGAGCTTGACATTGCAGGTTTCTGTAATGACTAGTCTTGTTCTTGGTCTCGTGTAGCTCGTACGGCTATAAAGAGCGCGTACGGCTGATAACCTGCGAGTGGATCTTAATCAGCGAAGTTTGAAGCTATCACTGACGATCCATAAGCGGCGTAGCGTCGGAACGGAAACCGCACCTTTTCTAGTCGCTTGATCCTTGAGCCAAAGTACATATGGTACATATATATGTACAAGTTGCACTGTACGTGTCGCTGCACTTCCATTCGCAGAGTATATGCATCTGAAGCATTCTGAAGTCATGATAAGGTGATGCTGGAACATAGCGAAACATGGAGTCATGCATTTAGGAACTCCATCGGTTTCTCCGTATTCCTCAAGGTGTTTCCAGTCGTGCCAGGAATCAGGTCTGGGATTCTTGGGGGGCCCCGGTGTCCACCGGTGAACTGAGGACTTCACGTGAGCCATGTCTGACTCTCTCCGAAGAGCCTGGGCCGTTTGGTGGAAATCGCCTGGGGAGAGGCGAAGAAGCTGCTCCTTGGAGCCACGTTGTTCGTGTTTTGAATCAAGCGAGGTGTAAGCAGCACATTTGGACAACAGGCAGTTTCAAAAGCTTCTTGACAAACTGGATGTTTCCATGATGGCTCAAAATCAAACACTGATCCTGAAGAGCTGTGCTCATAATTCTCAGTTTCAATCAGCCTCTTCAAGGGGCTTCGTCACGTCCTGGTCCCTTCTAGAAGTCACCCTCACTTTGTTTTGAGGTCAAATCTTGGCTTCCAGGCTTCATGAGAAAGTGTGGATGAGGATTCGCCCTCGGGAGCCTCGGAACAAAGGGTCGGGACGAAGTCCGAAGATGCTTCTGGGTCACCGACCTCGATACAAACCAATTGCTTGACAATGGCTACTACGTATCTCCTATCGGCCTTAAAGAGACTGAGGAGATGAAATGATAGATCATAGATCTGATTGATGATATATCAGTGCATGCATCATTTTCGCAGTTTGATCCGATCCATCTATGAGGTGACTTATTTGGAAGTTAGCGCACTTCTTTAGTGGAGACCTTCTGCTAAGTTTGCAATGCGCAGAGGCAAAGTTGTCGTGCAGAAGCAAAAATGAAGCGAACAAACACCAAACTCCCCAATCACTAGCCGAGCCCATCTCACGACAGCCTTTTTTTGGTGCTGGACATAAAAATACCAGAGTCGGATCATGGCCACTCTTGATTCAGGCGTGCTACGCCCCCGAAACCAGCAGGCAAACTTCTCAATTTCAAAAGTTTTTCAGGCCAATATTGCAATATAGCCCTATGGATTCTTGTAGTACATCCTATCCAAGGGGACCTCACATGAACAAACTCTGTGACTCAACCACGACCAAGAGGATCCTAGAGGCAAGATTCAGACTCATGGCTCTCTTCGGGGATTCCAAGCTAGGTCACGACGCAAGTGAAACGGATGAATCACTATGTGCAATCGCCAGTGTGCTGTCAGATTCTGTCAGAATCTACGTGTTTTTGGCTCTGACTCTGAATCAATGCTAACTCCATCAACCTGTCAGCACCGGCTCAGTCAGGCCGATTCGCAGCAGCACGGCACAGCCGGCTCTACATGGCCAACCCAATAACACACCATGTGAAAGTTCACCATTCAATGTAGTTTTCGGTGCCACGGCTGGCTGGCTGCCTAAAGCCCCCAAGTTTCAGCTGCGAGCTAGCTGGCTCCTGAGGGGAGCCAGAAAACCTCCAAAAAGAGATAGAGGAAATGTGTGACACCAAACGTGTCTGATCATATAATGTTTTGAAAACACGTATGTGTATATATATATATCATATATAGCACCGAACAAAAATAGTTAAAAATAACTTAACATAATATGTATGGGGACATTTATTTGGTACTAAACTCACATAAACTATCTATTTTGTGGAGGCCCTATCTCGTTTAGACTACTTAAGTAGTAGGTCATGTCACAGTGTCTCGTTCAGACTACTGTAGTAGCACATCACACTACATCTCGTTCAGAATGCTTTAGTGTCATCAAGCAAAAGTATCGCGTTTATGTGAAGGCCCGATGCCGGGAAACTGTTGATTTGAGACGGAGACTATGTTTTGACATTGGTCCACTCTTGGCGTCACCAGCATAGTCAAACATATATATATTATATGAGCAACCATTTTTATTTAGGCTAGTCTACGGCATGCTCGATTTGCTTGTTTATCATCCGTAATTATTCGCTTGTGATAGAGTCATCGACCAAACACTTTGTCACGGTGCAGCCGAACATGTCTTGATATGTCAGGTGTACAGTTCAAGGGTGTAAGTGTACTGTGCAAACTTGTACAAAATGGTATGTCAGTTGAGTCAGTAGAACTAGAAAATCAATTCAAAACATACAAACAAAGGGAGCCTAGTTTAAGAAAACAGAATCCTAGCTTGTAAAAGGAATCGTTGAGCCACCACGGAGATGCAGTCGGAGCCCGTCCTATGTCATCCTACGTCGCTTTCAGCACCGGTCCTGAATCAGCGCACCGAGTTCCGAGCTGAGCTGTGTGCGTGACATGAATCGGAAAACGGATGCAGGAAAATCGGAACAGGGCCCAGGAGTAGCCAATGGAGGAATAGATACTTGTCTTTTTCTTTAAGTCCTCTTTGGAATTAAGACGGTATCTCATTGATTTTTTTCAGATTGGCATATGCTTTCGGGAGTCTGGGGGAGCAATCAGAAGTGCAGCTTTCAGTCATCATCTGATTACAAGCAATGTCCTGCAACTATCATCAACTATATACCCATTGACATGGACATGTAGGAGTTGATGAGAGAAATTCTGCAACACCTGGGTCACCTGGGAGAGAGAAAACTGCTGAACGTTAAGTTATTTACTTGTTTGAGGCACCATAGGAGCAAGCAACTTTCTGACCGTGGCCACAGCCGGTTGCTCATTTTGGGCCTACACACCATACACCCCTGGGAGGAAATAACACCGTTTCGCCGTTTGCCCCTGGCACTCTTGGCTCAAACTCTTTAATCTGATCATTTCGGACGGTGTTATGATGGTTCGGAAAAGCGTGCGATCAGTTGACACAAATATTACGACAAATTCAGACCATTGGGCACAGGCATGGTTTGGTACATCGTTCGCCACAGAACGCATCGGAGGAATTTCGCTTCTACGACCTATCTTTTGTCATTCCCCAAGGCCCACTGGAAAAAGAAGCTCCGCTGTCTCGAGCTGCGACTCTCCGGCATTGTGACTAATCGAACTGCCAGGCACATTCTTCGAGTCCAACGTTGCTTGTCGCCATCATCCATGCAGCTTCTTGGCCATCATGCCGCCTGCCAGCGGGTCAGCGTGCTGCACAAAAACGCTCCAGGAGCGCGTCTTACAACGGTGGAGGGGCCTCAAGCGCATCAAAAATCCCCGTTCCGACCACTCAATTCCAAGCACCAATCGGGGATATCAAAGTGAAGTCAAGCACCAATACGCTGTTGCGCTGTGCCGTGAAATGATGTTGGAACAACAGCTTAGTCTCGCTGGACCTCGTCGCAGGATACGTTTCGATGCCCGAACGGCTCAATGCACCGATTTGCACCTTCAGCAGGCAAGGTGACCTGCCGGTGACACGTGGTGGATAATGACGTCCAGGTCTTTGGCTGAAGTGCGGGCGTAGCCGAGGCGTTGGCTACTGTATGACAAGCAGTTATAAGACTATATTGTATAGTTGTAAGTTATTGTGATAGTATGTTATAGTATGATATAGTATGTAGTTTCAAAGGAGCGAAGCTGTCTTTCTTGGGCCCTCCAGATGCTTCCTGACCTGGCTTTGCAATTCCGTCTTCCTTGAGAAACTACATGATCTTCCAGGTTATGCATATGTACTTTGCCCATCTCTCGACTTTCAGTTTAGATCACACCACCAATTTACAAACACCTGCTTTTTCCCCATGGTCATTGCCAAACATGGAGAACCATGTTCCACCAAACCATACTTGCAAAAGTAAACAAAATCCGGAACTTCCCGCATGAACTTCCCCTGAATTATCCAACTAAGCTCACATACGAAGCGGCTTACGGGCGCCTGGTAGACACGAACCTCGCAGTTGCCGAACTCCTCGCAGTTGCGGAGAAAAACAATCTAAACAAGCTGTGATGCGCGATGATTTGTTCTGTCTTACCTACTCTACTACTCGACCTACTCTTGGACCCTAACTAGAAAACGAGTCTACCCACGGTTTTGAGGTCTCTACACATTCAAACCTTCTATTCGGGAAAGGGGTTATCCGATCGTGAGCGTTTCAAATCCCGCCTGCCACATGATCATGACCAGGGTTTAGAGAAGCAACTCAATGCCTTCTGAGGCTGTACGGCCTGGAGCCCAGAACAGCATTGTTTGGCCACAGAATGGGTGTCACATCTCTGCAGCTCCTTCGCTTCCGGGTTCTGTAGCGGGCCTCGTTCTAACTCCCGCCTCGCTGTCTTCAGCTTTGGTGACGAGTCGTATGAGGAAGGATTGGATCGAATTGGTTTCTCTCAGTGTGGCAAATTAGTTCTTCGTTCATACTGTGAGGGGGAAAAGTGAGGGGATCACCTCTAACGGGAGAAACGAGCTTCCCTCTGAGAGTTCAAAAGACATGGAGGAAGTAGCGAACATCCTGGAATCTTTCAAAGATTTGAGCCATACTCCCCCCAAACAAGGATAGCCAAAGCCCTCTCCCAATAGTTCGAGCATTGTTTATGTTTTTTCATGGCTAGTTTAGGGACATCTATCAAATGAGGTCAGCCATACTTCTCAGAGTAAGTCGGGTGGTGGTAACCCGGCATAGGTCTTGTCCCACGAAAGGAGCTGTTGATGGAAGCCGTTGGAAAATCACCCCAGCATGCACTGGAACCTGGAGTCCACATCTTTGAGATACCACCATGTCCGATCAACTGAGTCTGAGACAGATTTAGTTTTGAAACTATAGTTACCGCCGGATACTTAGAACCGTATTCTTCAACAATCATCAATCATTAATACTTAGAATCTGTCAAAAAAATGACATATAGAACCAGTGATGAATAGACACATAGAACCTCTTGGAGATCGCACACTTAGAACCTGCTAGATCATCAATTGTTTTAAGATGTTGATAGATTTAGATATGTGATTCTTTACATTCAATGTGGCCTTGGAGTAGCACCATAATTAGAACCTGCTTCAATATGAAAGCAAAAAGGATAATGAACTGGATTTGAAGCCCAATGATGCTTTCAACCCTGAGTGAGCCCGGGAAAGCTTGCCATGTAGATACGTCGATATCACACCAGCTATGACATAGTAGCTAAAGTCTGAGCCTTTGTGCAGCATCGCGCTTAGAACATCCATCAAGATGAGCCAAATCCGTAAGCTCGGCCACACCACCTGGAAACAATAATGTCTCCTGCCAACCCTGAATAGCTTGAGGAACTCTCACTTGGAACCACTGGAAGTGCACGGCTAGCGATTTCTCGTTTTTTGGCTTCTAAGTGTACACTTAGAATGTCTCCAGCCGTGTAAATAGGATACATTTTTCCAAAATAGGTTCAAAGATGTTCTAAGTATTATTTGTCCGTGGTTATCACATCTTGCCCTGAAACCATCCCCCAAGAACAGGAAAGTGAAGCCTCAATGTCTAGCCTCTGTTACCTGAAACCTACGTTGCTTCACCCAGATCGAACTGCACTTTGTCATCTTTGTCCAAGGGTCAAAAGACGTAGGTGGTACAAACACCATGCAGAGTAGATGCAACTTTCCAAGGAACGCAAAATAGACCCAAATAGTAGGTAAACAAACGTATACATATATATATAGATGTATATATATATGTTAAAAATATATATATATATATTGAGCCTCAGCCGCTCAGCTACACCAAGGTGTCCAAGTTCTCCTTCCACCTTGCATCTCACATACCAGAACATATGGTCTTGTAAGACCAGGAAAGGGAATGACATGGAATGGCCCCAATGCTCACCCGACCTGAGAATCCCTGGACATGCGACCGGTGCAGGTGGAGGGGTCACTCATGGAGTCGCAGGAAGCTCCTCCACGAACAGCCAAGAGGCAAGTAACCCTTGTGCGTCACCACGGCCATACTGCGGCAATCCACCTGTGGCAATCCATACTGTTCATGTCTCCTTTTACCAAAGTGTTGCGCTATGTTGCGCTTCAAGTGATTCAGTTCGGAGGAAAGGGATTTAAACCAGCATGCCCTGACTGATGCCCTGTGGCGTGGTTGACCACAAATCCTCCATTCCGAATGACCTGTGGTGCCGTGGCCAGAGCGCCATCACAGATCCTCCGAAACGAAACAAACATTCAATGACCCAATGATGAACGTTGTCCATGAGCACGAGTCCCTGAGCTGTCTGTGCGCACCAAAACATGGTAGAAAGCCAACGGCGACATTCAAACATTGTCGCTACGCATGATCAAAACATACCAAAATCAAGTCGCCCGTCATTTTTGCAAAGCACGTCTCGTTTGTGGCACCTGATCCCTCATCAAAGCCTCCAAAAGGGCAGTGCCTAGGCGGCTGAACGATAGCCCCAAAGGAGTGGTCGAAGCAACCAAATTGACGAAAATCGAATGGGTGGGACAAGAGTGAGTTGAGGATCGCATGCCTGGAATTTCAAAAGGATTCCAATATAATACAATATAAGAATGAGAGAATCGGTGGATTTGGACAACACGTAAGGAGGATTGGAGAATTGGAGGATTTGGATTCCGATATTTCGTTTCTCCTCCACTTCGGTGGGTTGAACGCCCTTGATGAGCAAATCCGCGGCTCTTTTTCATCTCTGCGACAGCGGGCAGTCGCTAGGGTCAAGGCTGAATTTCACATCTGGGCGTGATTCAAACAAGGAACATCTAGTAGCCCCCTCACGAGCAGGACGATAAATTTGGATAGTTTCCATATGTATATTACACGTGTGTTTGTGTCTTTGCCTTCTGTCTTCCCTATGGTCTGTGGACACTGCATCATCATAAGATATCATAAGTTTCAATTATTTTCTCCATGCTTCTCATAGCCGCCTCCTTCTGATTGCTTCATCTAACACTTATATATCAATCGGGGAGCATCAACTGCTTTTCATAGCCCCGTCGTTTGAACCGCCCAACGTTCGTTCTCTGTGCAAACGTTCGTTCTCGGTACTCGGCACATCTCATTCCATGCCTTCACGTGCCAAAGACTCACCCAGCTCCACGTTCTCCTCCTCTTCACGGAGTTGATCACGGCGATTCAGGAGCCAATTCACTAAGATCACCGCGCCACCAATGACCAAGGTGATGATCATGAGCGGCCAAAAGTACCTTATGTTCATGTGCACATGCTGGTCTTTCTGTGAGAAGAGTGGACGAGGGTCACTGAAAGTAAACTACTCAACTACTAGCTCGATGTTGTTTGGTTGAAATTCGACTTCCCCAAACGCATCATTGGCAAAACAAACATAGCAGTGGCAAAACACCACCAAACCGTTGATTCAAATAAATTCCCTGGCCGGAGCACTCTCGGGGACACAAGACGCAGGCCAAGGCCCAAATCAAGGCTGCGCCGATCATGAGAAACATCTTGTACCTCTGCCACTGGTAGTGCCTTGGTATCCCAGGGAGGACTAGAGTGACTAGACAGAGGATAGGTAGATTCATGTAAAGTCTAAACTTTCTTGTGAAAGGAAATGGTTTTGTAATGTGTTGTATATTCTTTTGAGGCCGTAGATCATGTTCTTTTGTTCCACTTTGCCCTGCATTCTGGTACTGCATCAAAAACGCCCATTCATACCGCGGTTGATATCAACAAAAACCACTCCACTTGTTCCCAAAAAATCGTCCCTCGCACGCGTAGCGCTCGCCTCTGCAAGCGCTTGGCCCCTGAATTGAAGGCTTTGGATGCCCCCTGAAGGTCGTTGGTGCGTGCCTCCGGATACCCGACGAGGTCGTTCCACAGCAACAAGGTCACAAAAGGCATTCCACAACGGGTGAAACAAGGGTATGAAAAAAGGTGGTGACTGCCTGCCAACTGGAGAACAAAACTTTACAGCAGAACATGAGCAAGTGATGAACAAACCATGAGTAAACTAATTGATCGCCACATTGAAAACGCGCCTCCAATTGGGTCAAACCTGAGTCCCTTTCGGCCATCGCACGCATGTTGTCCTGCATCACTGCCATCGCCCCTTGCACCTGCTCTTGCACGCTCTGTGTACGCGGTGCCTCTTCACCTTCCGCCGGCATGGCGCAGCCGCTGGGTGGCACAGCCGCTGGGCTGTGCGGGAGATTTCCAGGAGCCAAACTCAGTTGTTCTGGTCTGTAACATCTCGTGTGCCAAGAGTTTTTGAGCTGTTTTTTCTGCCCCATCTGCGTTTGAGCCACGCAGCACAGCAACATACAGGAACGGTTGGTGAATGAACTTTGCGCCTTGGCGCTGACCTTTTTTAGGCAGCGAAGTGGCAAACAAAGATCGGTCAGCAACTCTCCAACCATGGACCATTCGACAGTCCTCACTTGGACTACATAGCAACACATAGCTGCTCAAAGCCAAAAGCATACTTGTTGTCCTTTTTCTCGGGTAGTAACTGCTCTGTTAAAGGCAAAGTACCTCTCAATCACGACTGTCTGCCCTGAGGGCACAGCCAAGAATCACCTAAAACCAAGGGGGCTTATATCTTAACGTTTAACTTATATAATGAACCGTTTGTATACCAAGACACCAGCACCTCATGCTCCAGTGAGCTTCGTATGACAAGCCCCCAAAGGTAAACTAAGTCTGAAAAGGACTGTCTTTCTGCACGGTCCAATTCTGGTGCATATCAAAGAAGCTTCTCATGCTTGATTCCTTGATTGGACGACGGATGTTCAGCTCCTTTTCCGGAACCCGCCGGATCCGACACCGGACCCGGCACCATCGCGCTTGACGCGCGTACGTTGGGCTCCTCCGAGGTGCGACCGCGAAGCTCCTCCTTGTCCTGGCGGCACTGGGTGTTGGAGTTGATCACATTTCCGTGCATAAACATGGAGCAAGCGCAACAAAAACACAGAGGCGCTAGGCCGCCTAGGCCTCTGGTCAATTTGCATATGACAGACCTGACACAATGTGCCTCGCTTTGCCAGCTGTTTTTCTACCCCCTCTCTCTCCATCGCCTTCTTTAAAAAGTCTGGTCCTTGCCTTTGTTTGCCAACTCTGATCAACCAATCAACTCCACATCACGCTGCATCCAACACATCATGGGTGCCGCATTGGCGCCATGCAGATGTATGATGTATGTGAACCGGTGACAAACATGCGCACAGGATAGAAAGACAAATGGACATCCAAATACCTTGGATCACTTTGGATCCTCAATGGCTCAAAAAACAGCAACAAAACCAATGAACACATACACAGTGCACAGTGCACATACATACTGCTACGAGTACCTCCTACAGCACTGCTACGCTTATGTCCCGTACAAACACATCATGGATGACAAACCCAACAACATGCCCATGTTCCGTTCCTCTTGCTTTTCGCCTCCCCAAACCGTCCGTGCCTCCTGCGTCTCAGCCAGTTTGAGTGCCCGTCGAAAGTGGCGGTCGTGACTCCTCAGTTCGTCCTGAGCCCAGCGTGGATGGAGTGGGTCATGTTGATACGGGTATTGTTGGTTGCCTTGGGCTGTGCTATCCAACGGCTGAAAATGGACAGTGACCAAGTGGAAAAGGTGGAATACCAAGGAAAACTGCCGTGGAAGCCCCGTGTGAGATACAACACCTCAAGTTTCCAGCGCAACTCCTCTTTTCAGGACCCACATCCTCAAGGATTCACGACTAAATGTGATCACCCCCTTCTCCTCATTTCTCCTCAGCTTCTCACCCAAAATCCTGTGACCGGTCGAAGTCCCCGGATGGACATGAAACCGCCAAAACCACCTTCACTCGCCGAGCGAGTCACGAAAGACATGAAGTTGAAGGTCTGCCGCATGGCCACCAGGTCCGCCCGCTGCCGCTCGTCGCAGGGCAGCCCGGTACGCCGCTCCCGCAGCTCCTCCCGGACCTGCAAGGAGACCCCACCGCCTTCCACAGACTGGGAACCAGATTATTTGAGTGGTGGAGGAGACCCGCCATGTCTGAGTGGAGACCCCAAATGATTTTGGAAAGCACCCCCTATTGGTGTCCAGTCTTTTGGAATGGCAATGAGTTACTTTCAATCAGGGAAGGGTAACGGCATAGGGTTTGCCCCTATACGGAAGTTTTGTCGGATTGTCATATGTTAAATTTGTTGCCGCATCCAAGGCAAAAAAGCAAGCTAACACAAAATCAACACCTGGCCACAATTCCGCCGGCAAAATCACATCGATCTGGGCCGTCGACATGGATCCCAGGGTGTTCTGGGAAAAGGATGGCTGCCGTCTGCAAGGTCCGCTGCAAAGGAGAGACATAGATGGCCGTGGGTTGTGGATAGCCCTGCCTCGGTGAGGGATTTTCTCACCCGGAGGACACAGATTGCCTAGCTTGGCGTCCGACATCATCTGATGCGGAGGTATCTGGAAAGTAAGTTCGTTCAAAGGAATTAGTTATTTTAAGGCCAAATACACACCTGGACCTTCAGCCTTTGGTGCATAACGTAACGTTGAACGCGACCGGGTCTTCTTTCCTGACAGTTGTGTGCTATGTTCGTTTGGAATCGTGTGGAAGCTCTGCTGAAGGCTTGAGATGTCAAGGACAAACCCTCGGAACGCAGCTTGATTGAACACCTGGCAAACAAACCAGCCCCTAGACTTGGATGTTTTCCACTATGTTTTCCCAGGGCACATGGTCAGCCTCTTGATCTCCGCCAATGCATCCAAAGCTTGCATCTTGCCGCTGGGGGATAAGGCTGCATCATGCAAGGTCTCATCCAAAAGCACCTGTCGCCTGTACCGAGGAAGGTCCAGGCGAGTCACCGAGTCGTGGCATGGGCGGGGCTTGCTTTAGCAAGGCGAACGGCAAGAACACCATGGGCTGTTCGGACGTGCGGCAACCGATCACTGCCAGGAACCGCTGAAAACTTGAAGATCGAACAGTACCGACCCGCTGAAACAGCGAGAGCAACGTCGCATCTCTAAGGCCAAACACTTCAAAACAGCGTCTGATTGAAGAATCTCCACCTCCCAAATTATTGGCTATTGGTCTGCTGATTCCGCCTGTCCCTAAGAAACCAATGCTAAGAACTTCGGTCTTTCTTCCATCTGTTCACCTTCACTTGAATAACGCACCCATACACCGGTGCCTTTCGCGCACCTCCCCTGCAACCCCCCCTCTGTCCGCGCCTGGCGGCTTCCACCCGCTGTTGGAACTCCTTGGAGCTCGGCGTTAAGCCTTCCATCATGGCCTCCGGCTGAAGTGAGGCGCGCGAGCTTCAGTCGGCTTTGCCCGTTTGAAACGCCAAACGACTTGGGCTGGGGACATGATCGTTTTTCTTCCACTTGGATCTCACGAAGTGCACGAACGGCGCCTGCGCTTTGGCGCTTTGTGTCGCTTGCCTTTCTTGGATGTTGTGCACCTGACGAAGGTGTACGATTCGTGGTCCGACAGGCGGTGGAGGCGACCTCCACAGAATCCCCAGAGTCCCGGAGCACCGAATCGGCCCAAGGGGCTGCTTCTCCGTGACGGATGAGGTACAAAGTCTTCACCTGCAGCTTTCGTTCTGTGACACAGAAGCTCGAAGGCACCACGACCATGGGATCGTTAGCTGAAGAAATGCTACGAAGCTCCACAAATCCCCAAAGGTTAAAGCACCAGCAAGCTTGCTTGAGAAGAGATTGGATGCTTTCCATGTGGAACGGAGAAGAAGAGTCTATGGTTACTATGGTGATTTCACAGCCGTCTCCAGCAAAGGCAACAAACACGGAGGCAAAATCTTCGGCTCTTTGAAGAATCAATTTATGTTTGGCCACAGTACTTCGTACTATACAGTAATTACTGGCTACTGGGCTTAGTAGTGCCATACTGTGGAGCAAGCAAGCAGCAAGAGTCTTGAAATCCTTTGCCATGGGACTCAATTTCTTTGTCATCCAAGACTTGCATTGGATTAGATCAGCGAGCGAACTTGATTACAGTACTGGATTCCCATCAGAGGTCACCCTCCAAGCAGCCTCTGGTGGCTTCATGTCTGGGCAAAAGCCTGAGCGGTGGGGCGGAACGCCATGGTCCAAAGGAACGGTTCATGTGACAGTATTCTCTTCACGAGGTGGTCTGGAAAAAGGACCAATTCTGAGAAAATGGATCTTGAGCCTGTTCATGTGCGTAAGCAGCCCGATCTTTTTATCTTCAGCATGATAGGCTGGCTGGAAGCACGAACAATTTGACAATACTTTTGTGGAGCTTCAACTATTAGTAGAGTATATCTATATAAAGAAAAAACATAAACGGCCCTGACCATTGCTGTATATATCCGATCCCCCATCGTCCAATATCCCCCATCGTCCACCAAGGGGCTCCAAGATTGGCTCCGCACGCGTTGAATCTTGGCTAAGGGCAGACGACCATGGCTGTCGGAGCATAGGAGCCCGTCGCCGATCTCAAACAGCCTGGGAGCAACGGGATGCGGGGCCATGCGGAGCACTGGCCGCCAGTTGGGAACAACGGGAAGGTCCATATGCGCCATATGCACCCTTTCAAACATGAATCGTTGGAGAGCCTGGGGTGATCTGGGGTGGCGACATGTAAACACATGTTGAAACCATTTGTGGTGGGTGATGTTAGGGTTAGGGAATGCTAGGAAGCGCAATATTGTAAGGGGATGATGTTGATCATTCTTAAGAATCTAGCTTCACTCATTCCGACTTTTTACCTACACACGAAGGTTCATGCCCGGCTTGGCCATTGGCTTCAGAAGGTTGATGTCACTGGTATCCGACTGATCCAGCTCCAACGCCAAGCGCAGCCATCGCAAACAGGATGTGCCAAGTCGCTCCAACGCCTGGTCCACAGTCAGCCGCTTCTCCTGCCAAGTCACTTCTCCGGGTTTTGCCCTTCACAAGTTCATGCAATGAGTTCTCAAGAGGTGCCCTTCACATGTCGCATCTGGTTCATCAAATGCTCGTCCTGGTTCTGTTTTCTTCCTCCCCATTCCAAGGTGAAACATCTTGGATCCGAACTGCTAGAGCTTTTTTTGACAACCTATCTGCAAATGTGAGGTGGGGTCAAGCTCAAAATGTTACTCAAATGGGTCTACTACAATCACGAGTACACTAGCAAATCTGCCGCATCCTGGTGTAGGTGTCATTGTGACTCTAGTGTATATATATATATATATATATACTAAATACATGCATCTATATACATCCTTGAGCTTCCCCATGCCCTGAGGCATTCCAAAGAATGGGTACGACCCCCTTCCTTTGGATCCAGGGCTTTTGCACGCAGGTTTGTCTGGCGCCTGATCTGGATCCAAGAGCTGCATCACCAACGACTTCACCTTGGGTGACACGTGGCTGAAGATGTGCTCCGTCTCCAGCGGATGCCTCGGTAGTAGCCATGGTAGTAGCCGAACACTTTCATGGTACCCATGAACCGCGGGGATTGCCAATTGCCGGTCCTGTGCTGCAGGACGTGGGGCTACGGGACGTCAGGGACGTGGGGGACGTGGAAGCTCGGGACGTCAGGGACGTGAAAGTCTGTGTAAAAACATGTAGGTACAAACTATGGAGTCTACAATGCCCTTCCGTTGGCACAGCTTGAGGCACATGGCAATTCAAATTCACTGCAAAGAAAGGAAGGCATACCATCCGTGGCAGCAAAAGAAAGCATACCCAAAGTTTAGTCAGCCTCTTGCATTTAAGAAACGTGGAATCACGCTTGTTCACAACCTCTCGGTTCGAGAGATTTGAAGGATGAACTCAGTAACAAAATACACGTCCTTGATGGGTTGCTGTCATCTTTGAAGAAAATCACCGCAAGTTACGAAATTTGATCTGGAAACTGCTGGAACAAACGGGCGCCGTGGAAAACATCGCCATGTGTCTTCCATGGATCAGTGAGCATCCAAACACTATTCTTGAAGTTTCACGGGTCGCAACCATTTAAAGATAAGAATGCCGGATATTCTTACCTTAGACGCTCCAAAAAGGAATCAAGCTGCCGCTTGTTTTTTTCTCCGATGGGACCACGCTCCTTTTGCACTCAGTTGGAACGGATCTTGGCCGTGAGTGACGTGGCCGCACCGGTTTCCTCCACTGAGATGTAAAATCATGGTTGCTCACAAGCCCTACGGACGAACTGCTGCGGGCACGGCGCCCAACTAGCAAAATGGTGAAAAGACTCGTGTTGGTCCGCCCTCCAGGCTCTCATACTTCAAAGAAAAAAATAAACATTGGTTCTGGGTGGGAAGAATTGGGACCTAAATAATACCGTCCGAGAAATTCAGTCGGGTGATGTCCTCGACTTGCTTGACTGTAGGTACAGGAAAGGCACAACAGTCCTGTCAAGTTCCCGACCGCCTGCTCGATAGGCCATCGTTCATTCTCAAGTGGACAACGGTGGCCCATGAATGGAAATTGAATTGAAGTGAGTGGCATAGTGACGCAAAACAAAAAGCGCATGAACTGCAGTCACAGTCTTGCATTGACTAAACCATATGTGCACACAAACCCTCGGCTCGAGAGATTTAAAGGATGCGCTCCGTGATGAGCTCGATAACAAATGTTGAGTCCTTGATGGATTGCTCTTATCTCTCAATATAATACCGCAAGCATTGAAATTTGACTTGCAAGCAGCAGCTAGTAGTAGTAGTAGTCGTCGTCGTCGTCGTAGTAGCAGTAGCAGCGAAGGCAGGGGCATCAGGGCCGCGAAGGACGGGACGGGACGTGAGGGACTCCAGGGAAGGCGCGTCCGGCACACCAGGGAGATAGGACGGCAGGACGTCACGGACGTCAGGCTGCGAGGCACGGGACACGGAACATCAGGGACGTCAGGGCTCATGTCCTGCAGCGTGGGTGTGGCAATTGTGGGGAACCGGAGGAAGGGATGTCCAACTCAAGTTTCGGAACTTGTTCACTGGTTCTTTTGGAACAGTGGCGTCCGAAAGTGCGTCAGAAAGCCATGAAAACCCATATACTCCATGCTCCATGCCATTTAAATAAGCCTTCTACTGCATGGATGCGGTGGCTCCCGAGAACCTGTTTCCCATTCGGTCTGTGCCGGTGCCAAAGGGCGCATGGGCTTCCCGCAGCTCGGACAGGGAATCTGCCTGTGCGGGCAGGCCTGCGACTCACCTCGCATTGTACGCCAACAACAGCAGTTTCATGATGTCACTGTCGTTCCTCTTCTTCCTCTTCTTCTTCTTCTTCTTCCTTCTTGTTTCTTCTTCCTCTTCTACTTATTATCCTTCTGATTTTCGTCCTATCTTTAATATTCCCATTATTATGTTTTTCTTACGATGTTTCTTCTTCTTCTTCTGTTGTTCTTACTTACTCTTTATTGTTATTATTGTTTTTATTTTGTATTCTTTTTCTTCTTCTGCTTCGTTGGTGCTGGTGGTGGCGGTGACAAAGAAAGAAGGTGCTCGCAGGAATCCGCTCGCGCGGACACACTGACTCACACCTTTCAAAGGGAAAGCAGTCTTAATCAGGGCTATCCCGGACTATCTGTTTCTGTCTCATATGACGGAGTCTCATATGACCGGATGGCGGAGTCTCATATGACGGAGTCTTCTTAAGAATCTCAGCCACAGGGGAAGTCCTCAGAGTGGCACACCTCGACGATGGAACATCATCCCACTCTTTAAACAAAAGTGATAGAAGTGTGTTCTCAACCTTATTAGTTGGAGATGATATAGCGGATTGGGAGTATATACATGGCATAATCCCCAAACGGATGTTCTGATTTGTATTTATGTACAGTTGATCTCTTATATGGACCACCATCTCCAAGACTTCGGGTGCCGTCGTGCCGTGAAACCACCTGAAGCCGGGCCTGGAAGGGCAAATCGCCGCTGAGGATGGTAAAGGCCATGACGCCGATCGCCTCGGGGCATGAAAACGAACAGCTGGGGAAGCCGCAGGGGCAAGAAAGGATACCGAAGCAGGGAAAAAGAACGCAAACACCACCAGTGGAAACACCACCAGTGGAATCTGCAAGTTCTTTTTGAACGTTTGGATTTCGAGTCCCACTGGAGTTGGCTGGTTAAACGGTTAGTGACTAGCCATGACGATGGGTGATGAGATCCATGAGATCCAGACAACTCACTCAGACTTGTACAATGGGGACTCTCAGACAAACTCGGCGTGGTTCCTTTTCAGCCAAAGGTTTGAAACTTGAGAATGGGAATGGTCTGGGGCATCATCTACAACATTATGCAACTGATCTGACAAGGAACAACACAGCCCAGCAGGACCCCTGACGATTGCACACAGGACTCAGCAAAAACAACGCAGGAGTCCTACCCAGACCCATGGCCGCCCACAGCTGTTTCTGTCCAAACCTCTTGTTGCCACTCCGCAGCGTTTGAAAGCGTTTGAACAACAATACCGCTCTCCTGAACACTCGTGAAACTCAATGTTATACCCACGGCACATCCCTATCCGCCTTGTTGACCTGTAGTTCATGGACTTGCTTCCACCGCTGTCCATTTCCTTCTTCAAGCCATGGAAACTCAACAAAGAATGCATATCCGGCTTCCTCCAAAAGAGTTCAACTTTGATGAGCACATTGTTTGTGCACAAAAGGTGCACTTCACTGCAATGTTTTGCGGGCTGGAAACTGTTCCCCAGCTTCGCTCCTTTTTTTGCTAAGCATCTCCTGCACAGGTAGGTCTTAAACAAAGAGGCCTCAAGCAAAGGGATAAACGATGATAAACGGATACACCCATGTCATGGCAAGGTTTAGGCAAATGGATTTGGGCCGCTCGTTTGAGACATCCCACGTGCTGCTTCCAATCTGGAACAAGCAACAGGGTCCAGAGTCCATTTTGACCTCCGGCTCCATTCAGGATGGCGCGCCCATGCGCCCCGAAGAACGGGATAGGATCACAGCACAACACCAGTGCGTCTGGCGGTGTTCATCCGTCCAGAATTCCCCACACAAGCACATTCATCCTCTATAGATCTACACATCCGACTCACGATCAGTGGAGACCACCCCTGTTCGTGAGTCGGAAACTCGTCATCTGGGCCCACTTCCTTTTAAGGTGAGTCAATATGTGCATTTCAGGAGTGTATGTCCAGAGACTGGTCCAGAGTTGGAGGCTGGACAGGATCCCGTCCGTTCTTTCTGGGCTTTTGGGCCACTCATGGCGAGCTCTTGCTGCCAATCATGATCATGGCCACCGCACACACCTTGGACATCGGACGGACCGGACGGACTGGTTTTTCGAGTGTCGCAGGAGAGGTGGGGCGTTCCGGGCGTGTCGCGGTTCGTTTTTGGTTTGTGTTCTTTACATTTGTAGACCTTTAAACAGTTACAGTCCAAACTAAGTGCTTCATCTCTCTGTCGCAGTGATGCCTTCTCACTTCCAGGCGAAGTACGAGCTCCCATCTACTTCGGGGATGGGAGCCGTTGTTTTGCCCACCCACTTCTTCACAAAACAGCTGAATGATGATCAAAAGCCAATGCATCCTGCCCAAAATTAGCCTGAGCATGCCTGAGCCAAGTTCTTCCCCCCCCCGGCTTTTGGGCCAAAAAGCAATCAAGCCGATGGTCACAGTGCCCAGGGAGGACCACATCACCACCACCAGGAAATAGGACCAATACCTTACAGTAAGTGACTGGCTCTGTCGCGCGGGAGCGTCCATTAAAACGGAGCCAGGTGGACAGTCAGTTCAGGGCAGAAATTGAGGGATCTGCAATGGTTGTTCATTTGGGAAGTCCTCCATAGATTGATCATGGCGGATGGGCCCGTGTTTGCATTTCTTCGTGAATGATATATGTTTGGGCTCAAGGGGCGGGCTTTGAGCTTTGAACTATCATGGGCCACAAATGACGATACATCAGTGTTCCAAACCAAAGTCATTTCAGCCTACAATGTACAACATCACGATGCTTCCTGAGACGCCACAAATATGGTGCCGAATCGACGCAAGCTTCGGTACCTGCGCTCACCCAGGATGTTCCTCACCAGGGAGGAACATGGAGATAGAACAGCTCCCCACTTTGAACGTGTATATATATATGTGATGTCTGTATACATGTGTTGTGACATACCTTGAGGCATTGCTGTATTGTTATTATTGCAATCTTTCAGACGGGCAAAGCTTGTGTGCGCAGGCAAAGCCGTTCGCATGTGAGTCACTTCCTTCACACATTCGACGTGTAACCGTGATCGCCCGTCCTAGGATCAGCCACGCGAAGGACCCTGCACAAGCTGCAACTTCCGCGAGAAAGCCTTGCCGGAAGGCAGCCTGTGCATCTGGAAGATGCAACCTGGGCAGGTGAAGAAGCACAGAATCAGCAAGTAGGTGGTTCAACATGATATCTTGGCCACCTCCAGCTAAATCGAACTAAATGACCATCAAAAAGCGCCGTCACCTTCACGAACCCAGATATGACTTTCTTGGTAAGGGTCTAGCTCAAGTTGGTGATGAGCAGGGGTCTCTTACTGCTTGGCCACCAATGGACGGCCTAAAAAGCACAGCATCAGAGCTGGTGGATTTGCCCACTTAATAAGTTGGAATCCAAACCAAGTTAGCACATCAAATCATGATTATCCATCTGATCCATCTGTTCATCATAGAACATCAGGAATGCCCAGGTCAGGTCCGAGCCCAGGATCGGTTTCAGTGCTCCGAGCTCAGGATCGGCGCCGCGCATGATGCGCCGCGCCACGACTTCCAGTAGCAAGGCTCGAACGTGGAACGGGTCGATGCTCATCATTTTGGTCAAAAGGGTCTGGCTGCTCCCCCGCGAACCCTAACGAATCCCTGAGATGGAGCCAGGTGGCAAGTCATCATACTGCTGGGACATGGCCTCTCTTTGTCGAGGCATGGTCTCATCATTGCCTGATGCCGGATGCCCGTTTCACCAAATCATGGTATAACGAACTGGGGCAAGTGAGTACATTGAGTACATAACCTCGAGTTCACCAACAAGGACCGCCCTTTCAAAAGCTGTTCTTTCTCCAAAAACTGCTGGCCTCGGACGGTCATTGAACATGCTACTTGTTGATACATGTTGATACTGATACTGTTTCTACTTCCATAATTAGCTCGATTCGAGCCCGAAGAGCCCGCATGCCCCTTGCAAGGACGACCTGGCCGACCTGACCGACCTGTCTCCTGGGGCCAGGAAGACATCGAGTGGTGCTGCAAGCCGAGTACCAAAATATACCAAAATGAACTGCATCATCAAACAGAAGCATATACATTGACATAAACTGACTATATTGAGTCAATACTCTGGCCTGACTGGTCTGATGCACCCTCTATCGCTCACGACAAGTCACATTGATCCACCAATTGCCAATTCACCTCGGCTCGACAACGGGCATTGGATGTAATGTTAACATGTCATTTATGAACCATGAGACAATAATAATGAGCTTTTTGGCCTGCCAGGATTTTGCAATACTACGTTCAATTGCGCCAACATCCAGACCCCAAAATGGGCTTTAAAAAAACGACGAATCAATTATAAACATGAGACAATAATAATGAACTTTTTTGGCCTGCCAGGATTTTGCAATACTACTGTTAATTGCGCAATGTTTGTAGCCAAGTTTCTTTACCTTTTCCTATCTTATTTTTCTTTCTTATATATATTTTTATTCTTTTGTGAAATCTTTATGATTTCCCAAAACATTGGCTAGCCAAAAGCTTTAGGTTTTTCTTATTCTAACCCTATCAAACAAATACGAGCAAATGATCTTCAAAGGGTATTGCTCTAGACTCCCACCCCCTGCAATTATAAACACACCTAATAATCAACCCCCCTCCTGCCCTGCTGGCTCGAATGAAAGCAGAATGAAAGCAAATGAAAGACCCTCTGCCAAATCCTCTTTGGAGGTTTGTTAAAATAGAGGTTGAGATTTTTGACTACCCCGGAGGAAAAAAAAACATGCTTCATGGGGTGGGGACGTTTATACATGAGATGTTATGACTCTGTTACCCTGTGGTTTCCCTTGATTTCTCGGTTGAACAACTTGCGAACTTCACAATCATAGGCCAACCTCTTCAGCCAAAAAGCAGGAAACATTCAATCCCACATGAGACGACATGAGATAGGGTCGAGAAATGTCAAGATGGAGTCATTCCTTAAAACAGGAAAAAAAAGAAACTATGACGGATTGGCAAACCGAGTCTTGCAGGTCTCTAAATGACTCAAGGCCGCCAAGATGCTCCATCGACTGAGCCTTCCACCACCCACGAAACCGGATCACATTCGGGACCTTAGGAAACATGCATCGAATCAACTGACAACACACATCGATTGGCCTGCACTGCAGAATGGGAGGCGCCCAGGATTAGTTGGGAACATGACATTTTATAAGCGGCATATAAGGGGCCACAGGATCCACTTGAAAGGACAGGGAGAGACTAGAGATGACTAGAGAGAACCCACGTCCACCCCGAACCAATCCAGTCCACTGCGGTTCTCCTAGGTCCTACGTCCTATACAGGACCCCCCTCTCTCACTCTCTCTCTCTCACTCTCTCTCTCTCTCTCTATCTCTCTCTCTCTCTCCCTCTGTCTCTGCCCCTCACTTCTCAATAACACGGCCCAAGCGCTTTGTTGAAGACACAACGCAAGGTCAAATCAGCCAAGAGACCTTCTGTCCTGTGTGTTATAAGCTGGTATGCAGTCACAAGTTCTGGACCACCCCTGATGTCCACAAACCTCAGAGTGCAAAACAAATGTTTCCAAAACCAAGTAGACCAGGAAGAATTGCTTTCCGTGTCAAAACGGACCACTGGAGTTGATAATAAACAAATATATGATGATACATGTTCTACTGATCTCAATGGGACTGTTGACCTTCAAGAGTATTCCCGAAGCTCCAAAATCATAACTCAATGGAACAACTAAGAACTCATC